TGCCGGGCAGGGAGATGGAGGCGGCAGCGGCGCCGCCGCCGCCGCCACCCCCCCCGCCGCCGCCGCCGGTCCCGTCTGCCGCTGTCAGCTGCACCGTCGCACCTGACCCTGCGGGGATCGGATGCATGGATGCGGGAGGGCGGGTGGGGTCAGGAGACAGAAGAGAACCGCAGAGTGATCGATTCAAGTGCGAAAATGGCGCGACCGGGAAGTTTGATACGGGGAAAGCCGAAAATGAGGATGTGGTGGACCGGGTCATGGGGAACCCGTCGTGGGGCGGTGTGATGTTCCTTGCATCGCACTCACCCGCTAATAACATAACGCACCTGAAGGTGGCTGCAGCCGCAACAAGGGCACAGCCGGCGCAGTCGTCCCCCCTGCCGTGACGGGCAGCTCCAGAACCACCTGGGTGCTGCCGTCAGGCATCCGCTGCAGCCGAGTGCCTGCATTGGCCAGGGATACAAGCTCCAGGGGCCCCGTCACCTCCGCCGCCTCGTGCCGCTGCTGCTGCTGCTGCTGCTGCTGCTGCTGCTGCTGCTGCAAAACACCACCCAGTGAGTGCGGCGGTGGCGGCGGCCGGATCGGCAGCTGCATTGGCTTGCGCGACAGTGACACCGGCGTCATGGCTATCCGCTGCGTTGCCGACGACGACGAGTTGGGATCAAGAGCCAGGTCCAGCGCTAAGGTTGCGCCGCCGGCACCGCTGCCACGGCCCTGCAGCGGCACCAGCTGCTGCTGCTGCTGTTCCTGCAGGACCCTGAGCCGGCGTTCGTCCTGCAGCTCCAGGAGCAGGGCTACCTGCTGCGCGTGCGGCAGCATCTGCAGCAGCGCAATCATCTGGTCGTGTGGCATCGACTGCAGGAAGTCCAACTGCTGGCTGACTGGCATCTGCGACAGCAGCCGCGCGACAGCTGCGTTGCGCTTCTCTTCGTCCGTGGTTGAAGCTGACGCAGCTGGCGGCGGCGGGTGCTGTTGTACTGCAGCTGCTCGGAGCTCCACTCGCAGCTGCGGCGGCTCCGCCACCGCCACATTGGCCGGATCCAGACGTAGGTACTGCACGCCGGCGCCGGGGCCCCCACCGCGTGCAGCGGCGCCGAAGGTGCTACCGCCGCTGCCAGCTCGACCGCGCAGCGGGTTCATCAACGTCCCCATGTCCAAGGACAGGACTCCGCCGCCGCCGCCGTTGCCGCCGACGCTGACACGGTGGACGTCGCCGGCGGCGGCTGTCAAACTGCCATGGGACTGCCCCAGCAGAAGGGAAGGCTGCAGGCCGCCGGCTCCGCCCCTCCCCGAGCTTACATCTAGGCCCAGAATCTCCCGGTCGCGGTCCCTATCCCGGTCGTATCCCCGCCCAGAAGCGCCGCCGCCGCCGTGGGCGCCGCCGACGGTGGCGGCGGCGCTTCCAAGCCCGAGGCCCATAGGCATGTCCAGAACCCCAGCCTGGCCCCAGCGGGGCTCACCAATCAACCGTCGTACATCCGTAAGGACGTCCAGACCGCCACCGCCGCCTCCGGTGTTGTGCAGCGAAAGCCGCATGCCGCGATCGGCCTCGTGGCTTTGCACTGTGGCGGCAGCGGAGACGTTGGCAGTGCCGGACACCGGTTCGGGGAGCACTTCAACGCCCTTGCGTTTGATCGCGGCCATGGAGGGAGGGTGCCCGCCCAAAGCGAGCTCCCGCCCTTTTCCTCCCCCGACTCCCCCCCGCTGCTGCTGCAACGCGCTGCGTAGTTGCAGCTGCTGTTGCGGGTGGAGATGCAGTTGCTGCAGCACCTGCTGCTCATCTTCCGAAAGTGCGTCCTGCGATGCGGCAAACAAGCAGTGCAGCCAGCAACTTAGACACTGCACGCAGCTCTCACCGCACACATACGCAACCTCCCCCTGCACATGCATTCGATTGGTTACCCAGTTTATCCCACCCCAACCCCTAGTTGCTCAAACATACATCCGCGGTTCATCGCCGAACATTCATACTTGTGGGAGTGGAAGCTAGCAAGCAGCGACTGGGCGTGCTGGTTTCTTCCCCCATGAACTTTGTGTGTGACACCATCGGTGGCATCATTAGCGCCCCACTTCATGATTTCTCCACACATCCATCCGTCCACACATCCATCCCCCTCCCCTCCCCCGCTCACCACGTACTCCGCGGAACGCAGGTGGCGGTGCGGAGGCGGCGAGGCGCCGCCGACTCCGAAACCTCCCCCTAACTTAAGCGTACGGCGGGCGGTGTCAGCCCCGTCGTCGCTGGTGCGCGTGATGGCATGCAGAGCCCTGCTATTTGCAGCTTGCGCAGCGTCAGCGTCGGCTGCAGCGGCGCGCCAGCCACCGCTCTCCTACGTGAATCGTTGTGGCCGGAACGGGGTGCCGGGGTTTTAATGCCAGGTGGGTAGGAAGTTGATTTCAAAGCAGTGATGAGACAAGCTTCCTTCGCGAAGAGCACCACGGGCCGCTGCTGTTGCACCACGGACAGTACCCAATGGGCCACCCCGCCCTATCTGCCCTTAACGCCCGCCGCTGCGGCAAACTAGTGAACTAACAGAGGACGGACGACACATGCAACGCAAGGCCACCGGCACCGCCTTCACAACAACCCCCAACCGCAACCGCAAGTACCGTTCCAACCGTTCGACGAGGAATCGTCGACAAAAGCCATGCTGACTTACACTGGCTTGCACCACACTCACCTCCAACTGCTGGCCAGCCGGCGGAGGGCCTCGCACCACCTGCAGCCGCGGCCCCTCACCACCCGGATGCGGCGGCAGCACCTGCAGCAGCCCGCCGGCACTCAGACCACCCAGCAGGCTGGCAAGTCCCAACTGAGCATTGGAGCCAGACAGCATGCCCGCGTCCAGGATGGGGCCCAGCATTCCCCCCAGCGCCGTCAACGCGTCAGCCGCTTCACGCGTACTGTCGCTGCCGCCGGCTCCAGCTCCCGCGGCGTCGGCGGCGACGCCAAGCTGCGGCGGCGCTATCGCACGGTTGCGCTCACGGCCGCCAGCACCGCGCGTCGGCGCCGAGTCCGGATCTTGGCTGAGGCTAGAGCTGCATCTCGAAAGGCTGCCACTGCCGGCACGCCGCCCGTCGGTCAGGTAACCCATCGGTGCCGCACCGCGGTCGGTCTTTGACCCACCGTTCCCGAGAAGCACCTGCTCCCCATCCAGATGAGACTGCAGCTCGTTCAGCGTGCCCGTCGCCGAGGCGCCGGCATCCCGATCTGGGGCTCCAAGGCCTCGCCACAAGTGACCGCCTCCACCGCCGGCCGCTGCAGCCGACGAAACGTGCGCTGCGCCCGCTGCCACCCCGCGGCGCCTCGTGCTCGGAGGGGGCCTTTCGTAGTCATCGTCCATCTCGTCAATTTCAATGCCCGCCATACGAACGCCACCCTGGCTGTAGCCTGGCGGCCCGATGGCCGTAGCCGGCGTAACACCTAGACCTGTAGCGCCCTGATAGCCACGCGATGCGGCCATGTATGCGGCCTGCAGCGCCGAGTCAAAGCCGGCGGCGGCGGCAGCGCGTGCGGCACCGCTGCCACCGGCGCCGGCGCCGCCAGGCGGGGGCGAGCTAGGGCCGCTGCCGCCGCTGGTCGCTGGCGGGTCTTCCTCTAAGATGTCTGGACGGGGAGCACGAGGCCGGCCGCGCTTTCGCGGCTCGAGCTTCAGCTCCTGCGGCGCAGGAGCGGCTGCCGCCGCCGCCGCCACGGCCTGCGCTCAACAACCATCCAGCATAATGGCGGGCCAGTAGGTGTTGAAACAATAGCTGCTGCTCTTTCGGAACAAGGTTAGACGGGGGGTTCATTTTTGGGCCCATAGCATCCTGAGCGAGCACCAATTGGGGGCCCAGAGACATCATTCAATCAGCCAAAGCCGTCCTGAAAACGACCGCGAGCCGGTTGCCTCCTCACACACGAGGGAAACCAGAAGGCAATGCATGCGGGTGCAGTGCTTCATTAGCGGACTGCGCAACGATGTGGGTCACACCTACGGACGCGACAAGAGCCAGCAAAACCTGAAGCCAGGACCAAATGCACTGCACTTGGGAGCATCGCGACAGCCCCGCGGCAGGTAGGACAGAAGCAATTCTGCCACGCATTTATTTAGAAAAGACAACATGAACGCCCTGTGCCGTGCGTTACATGCTGCAGCTGGACACGCCCAGCCTTACGGACCGCCCACCCTTAGTGACCCACCTGCGCGTCGGATTGGCCAGCACTGGCGAGGTTGGGCGGGGCGGAAACGTGTGGGACCACGGGACGAGAGACGTGTGGCACACGTGTGTGTTTTGGCAGCAGCGTGACGCAGCGGCAGGGAGCACGCCCGACAAGTTGTAAAGCGATAAGACATTAAAAAGGAACGTATGCATCAATGGTTTTATGTTGTTCCATGTGCTAAAGGGGGTTGGGAGGGGAGGGGAGGGGTTGAGAGAGAGCTGGGTCTTTTGGCTGTGGCACGCGAGGGCGGGCAGGCCAAGTGATTAAGGCCCAGACGGATGTCATCACGGCTCGGAATCAAGGGGGAATCACGTTAGCCCCGATGCTGGACGTTATGTTCGGGAAAGACATGGTTGGGCCCCGAATTTATGGAAGTGGCGGAGCGAGGAGATCGCCGTGCGTCCAGACACGTTAGTACTTTGTCTCTCCGTACGTTACCAGGCTTACCTAGCTGTTTGCAGATTTGTGAGCGGCATGTTGCGGCGTTTGTAAAAGCGAATCATGAGAGCCTTTCGGCAATTCCTGTGGGAGTGGACAACGGCTCAGATCGTAACGTGAACATCGAATAGGGCGCGCATCAGCTGCGGGCAACGCTTAAAATAAACACATAGAGCACGCGTCGGGCGACCGCGAAGGCATTGTCACCCACCGATTAGCGCCATCGAATTCCTCAACCTAGGGCAAGGAGGAAGTCCGGGCAGGGAACTTGTCAAGAAACGAACAAAATGAAGTCCGGACTGGACGGACGACAGGACAAATTACCGCACAGGCGCATATGCAACCATACATCATACACTTCGCGTACCAGATGGAACTTGCCACACTGCTGGCAGAACCGGCAGGAGCGACCTTCAATGCTCAGGCTCAAGGACTTCATATGCGCCTCGCAAATCCGGAAGCGGCGGTAATATGCCTTACTGTTGGCCAAATCTGCATGACAGCCCTGCAAAGTTGCGTTGCACAAATTTACATAGACCTCGCAGGAAACGTGCTTTATGCATTAAGCTGGAAGACTGGCTCCTGGCGCACCTTTACCTGCAAAACAAAAAGACAAAGGAATATGTTTCATGAATTCGCATAGAGGGAATAGGCTAGGCATACTGGTAGGGGCCAAAGGCCGTTGCTACGGAGTTCAAGGAAAATTACGCTTACCAAGCAGCAAACATCCGGCTTGGATGAAGCCGACTGAGGGCCTGAATTATCATAACATGGATGTCAGCAGCTAGGAAAGAGAGACAGGGCGTCCAATCTTCTCAGCCCACCCACCTGTCACCGACACCGGCGCCCCCTGCGGCTCCGGCCGAGCCTGACGAGATGTGTGAAGGTGAACCTGAGGCTGCTCATAATCAGGGTCATCTGTTCGTTCTGCAAAAGGCGACAAGCTCAAGCATGACAAAGTGCGGCACGTAGAGTAAACGAGCACTTGTATGTAACTGCCCACCCTTTTTCTGTGCAGTGAGACGCCTCCTATCAAAGGTGTAATCGTCCTCGTTCCAAGGCTCTTCGCCATTTTCCATGATGTACAAAGGTTGCAACAATAATTCTTAAACAAACTGTAATAATACGTCGATTAACTATATATTTGAAAGATGCTTTAGACGCTGTATTGGGCTAGGTCCTATGAATACGAAGTACTGACTGTACGTAAAAGACGATGTCGTGGACCAGCGCGAAACTACGCCATGCACTGAACAGGACACTATGAAAAAGCCCTATATAGTATCGTGTAAGCGGCATGGGTTTTTAGTCATCATAGTTGAAGCTTACTTTTGAAATGGTTCACCTTGACGTCTGCTGCATCCTGCTAGGCCGCTCCAAACCTAGAAACCCTAGGTATTGAACTCAGCAGGTCTCCTTAAACCAACCGCCCCAACTCCATACGTTCGGCTATGTGTGAAAAGCTCGCCAGCTTCGGCGAGTTTGTGACCCTTGGTTCTTTGAGCGCCACCCTCCCACAAAGGCCTAGCCATCGCGCAGCGGCAAACCCCTAAGAAAACCGACGCAGCATTGCACGATGAGATTCTTAACCTGCTGCAAGGAGCTAAAGTATCCGCAAGTTGCGAAGGTAACCACATGAATGACCGCCGCCGGAGAGGTCACACTTTCCCGATAGAGCGCAAGTCCGTCCTCGCATCCACGTGGTCTCTGGCGCCATTTCGGTGGCGCTGCTCGAACTTTCGCCACAAGTAACACTACTTGCATCTTGCGCCATGAAGGACACCGGCCCACAACATGGTAGAGCATGGGTTACGACGTACACTGCTGACAAATCACATTTCCCCCCTATATTCTCCCAGACTCCGCCACAACGTCTGCCGCTGCCGCCACATCAGCGCGTCAGCAGCTTTCCGACAGACCACTTGTCACCTTTAACACAAAGAGAACGGCGTGTAGACATGGCACAGCAGTACTACCTTATACAGCTCGACTACCTGGCGTCCTACATCCAATCTCTGCGCCATCCCGGAGGATGCGTCCGTTCGCCGCACTAGATTCGCGCGTCGAGCGGAAGGGCATGGCGGGATTGATGTTCCCCGTCCACCTTGGTTAGGGATCGAAACCCTCCTTCGGTTGCAAGCTCCTTTGCGGCCAATCACATTTGTCCGTCGGGGCGATAGTTGAGAGGCGCCCTGCGCGTGTGTATAAAAACTTGCACGTTGTAACTTGCTTATGGAACGAGGGCCGACTGCTATTCTTCAGTGCCGGCGGAGTACGTGCGTCGTCGTTGGGAGGTCGAACCATTCGCTTTGCGTAACGGCTTTCTTGCCGACGCCTTCGGGTTCTATAAAAAACGTTTTTCTGTCCGTTTCCTGTTAACTATATACCACATTGTCTTGCGAGCATCACCTTCCTTCGGTACGTTCAAAGTATTCGATTGCCGTAATACAGGTATACACCGTATGAGTTCGAATTTTGGAGTAGCTCCTGGATTTGCATGACGCCCCTAACAGTCCGTCTTCTGCTTTTGCTGAGACGCCCTATACATTAGCTCCGTCGTGGCGACCCCGATCCATGCAAGGAAGTATGGCTGCACGGTCTCGATTACCGCTCTGGTGTAGCGTTACATGCAGCCGTTCGACTGCGCCGTTAAACTCACGTACCAATGCGGCCTTCGCCTTAAAATGAATTATTATATTTTATAGCAGACTCATTTATGCCTGACGCTGCCTGATTGCGAGTTCACATCCGCGCTGCAACAATCAGGGACTCACCCTATATAACGTTTCCGGAGACATTCAAATGGTAAAATTATTGCAAATTGCACTGCATATTATGGTCGCTGGTAACTGCCAACTACCCTGAAACTCCCTAACAAGAGGCACAGGAGGACGGCTAATGGATGCAAGCTACCAAAGCGTATAATAGGACAAGCATTTGAGGGAAATGGTTTTTGCTAGCATGTTGGACAGGATCTTTAAGCAGCCTCTTTTGCTCCTCAAATTAATACGAAGGTAGAACCGTACAGGAAGGAGGAGCAAGCTGTGTTTGAAGCTTAAGACACGTAGTACGTTCTTAACACTATGTCAGCTTCAAGGAGAGAAGTGCGCATTGACGTGAGCTCCCCTTCGTACTGTTTGCTCACATTGACGAGAATCCGGAATCCGGCATTTCCGTTTTCTCCGGTTTGAGCTAAAGCATTCTACTTACCGTCTAATTAAACAAATTATTTCTTTTTATTCGATGTCAAGAGTTTAACTCTGTGATTTGCATAAGCACGCAATTGAGCCGGTTCGTGCTGGAGCAGCATTAGGGCGCAGTTGATGACCTGAAACATAGATGAATGTCCTTGAGCTATGCAGTTTATTTGGACATTATAATGATGGCTGCTGATGAAACTGCGCTGATACGACATACGACGCGGTACCGGCTGCAAAAACTAGAGCGGCAAGGTGCCTGTAATTCTATGTATCCATTTGCCCGGATTTGGCAAAGATGAGCGAAAGTGATGGACCGACGCGCGAAAACAGTGTGACTTCCAGGACCTTTAATTTTCAGGAACCGCAGCCGTCGGCTTTTCAGTCCTTCACGCACGCTAGCCTAGCCCAACGCATAAATTCCGCCTTAGGAAGTTTCCGCGAGAGAAAGACTAAACAGCCCGAGCATGTTGTTCTTAGTGGAGTTGGTGGTCTTCGAGTTGGCTCAAAAGGGCAGCTTGAGGTGGACAGGAGCATTTGGGACCTGACAAAGGGTGTCCATGTTGAAGAGCAAAAGGTTTCACCATGGCAACGGGCGTGGGAGGCGACTTCTCAGGATTTCAAGGTATATGCTTCCAGAGCCTAGCTTCTCAAGTCTAGCTCGCGGTCTAGCTCATGGTAGCTCTTGCCCATCGTTTTCTTCAGACGGTCGTCAACACTGTGCGGCGAGACCGCCTTGTCGCCCTCATCCCTCTGCTGCTTCTCGTTTTGTTGCTGGGTGGTGGACTGTGGGCTGTTTTTGCGAGTGCTAAGAAAGAAACCGAGCATCGACGTGAAGTTGCACAACAGGTGAGTAAGCTAAGTGCGTGTGCCTTTGCGCCCATGCTTGCAAGCCTGGCGGCATTTCGCCGTCCTTGCATGTGGCCATCCTAACACAGCGACGCTAACCGGCGCGACGCTCAGTCTGTTGCGTGCGAGTTCTGTTGGAATTCTCCTCAAAAACATAGCAGCCCTCAGAGAAACGACCTTTCTGTTATCTCGGCCACTGCAATGGTCCCACTGCAATCTCTGCTGGCCAAACGGCACCACTACCATCCCCACTGCCTACCGAGTCTCTCGTCCCGCACGGTCATTGTGAACGGCATTACCTGCCGCACTGCATTCTGTGGGTTTCGGCCACCAGCCCTTCCCGGTACACGCACACCCATGTACACCCGCCCACCCGTTGCGGGCCCTGCTGGCTCCCACCGAACCCCCCTCGTCGTGCAGCCCCTCCCACGCACTGAGACACACACACTCTGACACACACCCTAGATAGAGGGGGGTATGACGACCCAGGGGCTGGTTGCTGCATAACGGAGTGGTGACCTGTGGTGAGGTGCTGCCCCGGGCGAGCCTTAGCCCCACCAGGCAAGCTCCCCCCTTGACACTTTGCCCCGGCTGCCTGACTCGTACACGGGTCCCGTCGGACTAAGTTAACCCCCCGGTGCGGCCGCGGGCGGGCTGAGCGGGGCCTGACACAACTTTGCGTGGTGGCTTGGGTTTCGCCAGGTAATTCGTTGAGGAGGGGCGTAGTGTGGTCAGTTTTTTTATTGTAGGGTTCAGCTCTGGGACTTAAGGCGCCGGTAGGGCGGGCCCTCATCACGGGGAGGAGGGGCGCCCAGGTGTTACGAGGACCCACCCGGGGTACGCAGCCGCGCCTGATGCTCAAGGCACAGGCTGCATGGACGGAGCTGTGCCGTAGCGCGTGCTGAGGTTGGTTGTTTGAGAGAGGGCCTTGGTAGCCACCGCGCTATCTTTCTTCTTGGCAAAAGGGGGAAACGCTGGGGGTGTGCACGCCCTCGGTCGAGCAGGAGGGGAGTGTGGCCCCGCACGGCCCCCTCCTCCTCCCAGTGCTTCTGCAGTCGTTCCCATTGGGATACGGGTAGGTGGCCCTGGCCAGCGTCAGGCCCCGATCGATGTGTAACAAATACAAACTCTGACACACACACACACACACACACAAGAGACACACAGCAAAGTAAAGTAACTCCTGCACAAAGCCATCACACACGGTTTGGGCTGCTGGCTGTAAACATTTTGGTGTACGCAATATTTGGCCTCCTTTCCTAACCCCGCACACACACAAGCATACATACATACATACATAGAAACTAGGGCTAGGCACTACTGGCAACGCGCGACCATTGCCCCCGGGAGATCCCGGGCTTGAGACCTGTAAGGGTCGAAAATACTTCCGTTGGTGGAAGGTATTATGCCCCTAGTTGATGGACGGTGGTGACCTGGGATAAAGTTAACCTGCGAGCCGACCAGGAATGGAGTTGCGCCGCTGTCGACCCGGCGGATTCCGTTGGATGCTGGTGGTGGGTGCGGAACCTGAGCGATCCACTGAGAAAGTTGACTAGGGTGACTGGATGAGGGTGCCCCGAAATACCGGGGAAGGCAGGGTTTCGCAGGGTAGCTGCCACAGGCGAAGATACACCCCCCTGTTTCACACATCATACACCATGTGTTCAAGTGGCCCAGAAGCCTCCCACTCTGTAACAATTCAAATTCAAATACACAACGATCAGGCGGCCACCACACAGAGAGATTGTCCCAAGTAAAGAAGGAAAAACTCTCAGCTAGCTGTGTTTTGAAGTATTGTTTTATGTTAAAAAGTTGGAAGCGTTTCCCACATAAAATGATTGTAGAAGTATTGCCGTACAAAGGGAGAACTTAAGCTTCTCTCACTCATTGCTTTTAACGAAGTTACTAACTAAATAACTAACTGACATTAGCAACTGCAACCAGCAGCACCACCACCGCCACAGGCTGAGGGGAATATTTTCCGAGGTTTGGATTGGGTGGTTGCCGTCGGGAGGTGTGGGGTGGGGTGGGGTGGACAGGACTTGGCGGGCGGGGGAGCGGTGAGGTTGGGCACTCTGCATGGCCACCCCCCCACACACACCCACTTCCCCTCTCCCAAGTTCCCTTCCCCCAGGAGTGTTCGTACACTCACACCTTGCCCGGGGTGTGTGTTGGAAGGAGTGAACATGGGGCTGTCGGGTGGAAATGTAAATCCGGGGAGATGTGTGGGTGCTTGAGTAAGCACTGTGAAAGTGATGGTAGTGGTGGTGGTGTAGCAGTGTAGTCGTGTAGTAGTCCCTGTTTCGCCTGTATGTCCATCTGACCTTCGAGGTGTTGGTCGGGTTTGTGCGTTATCTCACTTCCCTGGTTGGTTGCAACTCCCCTGGACCAGCCCGGGGGGGGGGAGGAGGTGGAGGACCTTTGCCCGCCCTCCCTTTTGCCCGGGGGAACACCCGCCTTCCCCCCCCCCCCGGCAGTGTACAGTTTAATACCCCCCCCCCCCCGCCGCCGCCGCGGTCTTCCTTTGGCGTGTTCGTCCGTACAACGTCTGTGTCCTTTCCGCTGTTCCGCTCCCCCGCCCCTGATCCATCTTTTCCTAACCTTTCCCCCCAATCACACACACAACACCAGTACTCGTTTCCTTCACACACACACACCCAATCACACCGAACCCGCACACGCTCAGGTGGTTCGCGACAAGGGGCTGTACTTGCAGACGGAGCTGGCGAAGGCCTTCCTGCCAGCCTACGTGTGCAGTGTGTATGTACGGCGAGACCCCTCCTGGCCAACCGTCAACCGTACATTCGCCCCCATGGCCATGGAGATGATTCGGTTATCCAACGCCGGCAGTGTGCTCACTTTATCCCTCATACCAAACGGGTAGGGGCAGCGTGCGTCTGTCTGTCTGTCTGTCTGTCATGTCTATCTTTTGATCGTTCGTTTGCACCGTTTGCCGTTGGTTATGTCGGGTTAGGCTACCTGCCAGTGCGCCCCCTCAACGCCCCCTTTCCCCCTCCCGTGTCCCCCCTTGACAGCATCATCTACACCATGGTCCCTCTGAAGGGCTACGGCCCCGCCACGGACCCCAACTGGCGCGCGGTGGGAAAGGACTGGCTCCAAGATGGGTGAGGGAGGGGGGGTGAGGGAGGGGGGGTGAGGGAGGGGGGGTGAGGGAGGGGGGTTGAGGGAGGGGGGTTGAGGGAGCGGGGGTGAGGGAGGGGGGGTGAGGGAGGGGGGGTGAGGGAGGGGGGGTGAGGGAGGGGGGGTGAGGGAGGGGGGGTGAGGGAGGGGGGGTGAGGGAGGGGGGGTGAGGGAGGGGGGGTGAGGGAGGGGGGGTGAGGGAGGGGGGGTGAGGGAGGGGGGATGAGGGAGGGGGGGTGCGGGAGGGGGGGTGAGGGAGGGAGAAGGCCACACCACGTGCACCCGGCTCCCACTGCCGCGGCAGCCCCCCTACCGGCTAATGGCGTGTGTGCTTGTACGTGTGTGTATGTATGTGTGTTTTGTTAATCCGAGCCGCGATACGAGAACAAGGCGAAGTATGTATGTGCGTGTGTATTGGCGGACCCCGAGGGGCAAGTTGTGTATGATTTCGGCCCCGCCCCCTCCCCCCCCACACACACCCCGAAACACTCTTCTACCTCCCCAACCCGGCCCCCATCTTTCCCCCGGTGGACCCCCCGGTCGTCCCTCAGATTCAATCGGGATAAGGTGCTCCAGGCTATGAGCACCGGCAACCTCACCATCATAGGGCCGTACAATCTGACACAAGGTGTCGTACGAGTTGTACGGGGTCGGGCTGACCGTCGAGGGGTGGGGTCGGGTAGGGGGGGCCAATAGGCAAGTCATGTGACAGGGGGTATGTATGTGTGTGTGTATGTATGTTGTTACAGGGTGGTTAACTTCGCCAGCGGCCCCCTTTCCCGGGGCAGTCCCTGCTCTCCCCTGCTAGAGGGGCACCCTAATCCGTCACCCCATCCGACTTCAGAATGTATTCGTTGGGTTCGGCAACTCACCACCAGCATCCAACCAAATCTAGCGGATCAACGGCGCATCAACTTAGTTCCTGGTCAGCTCGCAAGTTGATATTATCACGTCCTACACCGTCCATAAGATGGGGGGCCACCTCCCATTTCATCACTCCTCAAACACCCGAGGAGCCGGCAGGCGGATTTGAACCCGGGTCGACTGGGTCGACTGGGAGCAGAAGTCAGGCCTTAACCTCTGCCAGCCGCCTGCCTAGGGTTTTAGGGTTTACTTAGGGTTTTAGGGTATTTAGGGTTTTATGTATGTATGTATGTATGTATGTATGTATGTATGTATGTACATGTATTTATCGGGGACGAAGGAGTGCCGGCAATGGGGAAGGGGAAAAGGGGGAAGGGTAGCCGCAATTTCTTCCCGGCGCATTTCTACACCAACATCTACACCCATACACATAACCCTCCCCCCCACACACACACACACACTCTCCCGAGCCGACCCCCCCCCCCTCCCGATCTCCCCCCCCCCCAACCCCCCAACCCGCACACCCCTAGGTGGTATCGGACTGGTGGCGATGCTGACCATTAACATCGCCGGAGCCACCCGCAACGACACCTTCGACGTGCCGCCCTTCGACTACGGCAAAATGACGCCCTGGACGAACTCCACAAAAATACAGTACGGGCCCAACGTAACTGGCACGCCGTTTGGGGACTACTTGTACGACAACAAAACCAACTCGAAATGGTGCGCGTTCACCATTTGTGCAAAATCACACATATATGTACATACGTACATACATACATACATACGCACACCCCACCTCGAAACCCGCAAGGCTGTTGTTCCTCCCCATCATACAAGCTCCCTTTCCCTATCTCCCCCCGCGTGTGTGTGTATGTATGTGTGTTTTCCCCAGGTGGGGTCTGACCACCGTGTTAATCAGCTGGGATATCCTCCGAGAGGAGGTCACCCGGCTCAACGAGCTGGAGAAGCAGGGCTACCACTACGTGCTGGCGAGACCCGTGGCCAAGAAGGAGCTGGAAAAGGTAAGAAGGAGGAAAAGAGGAAGAGGAAAAAAAATGAAGAGGAGGAGAAAAGGCGTCTCACTGCCCTCCCCCTCCCTCCCCCTCGCCCCCAGGCTGGTCGACTAGACTTGATATCCCCCCGCAACGAAACACACGAGCTGGCAGTGGCGTGGAGCGACAGCGTGCAACTCGTTCCCCCCAATGTCACCAACAACGGCGCCCCCCCCCGGGTGCCCGGGAAGGCCCGCCCCCTCATCTACTATGACCTACACACGGTATGTAATATTAGCAATGATAACGAATGTTGTAGTAGTAGTAGTAGTAGTAGTAGTAGTGTGTGTGTGCATGTGTGTATGTGTGTTTGCATATGAGGACCTCCCCCTCCTCCTCCCTTCACGCTCCCTCTTCCCCCTTGCCAAACCCCTTCCCCCCGTTCCCCCCTCTCCCTCCCCACTGAGTTCAGCGCCTGGTGGGCCCGGTGACCCACGTCATCCTCGTCGAGGGCGCCCAGATGACGTTGTACGTGGCCCCACAGGCCGGTTGGACACCCGCCTGGAAGCAACCCATGGTGGCGGTGACGTGTGTTTTGTCCGTACTGGTTGCCGTCTTGCTGTTCCTAGTGCTGGTCAACAGACGACAGCATATGCGGCTGCTGCATGCCATGATTCCTAAGAAGGTGATACTTGGGGGGGCGGTGGAGAAGTCCGGAAGGGAGGAAAGGTGAAGGGGGGCCCCCATCTGGGTTTTAGAGTGAGAAGGGGAGAGCAGCTGGTGTGTGGGGGGTGAGGTGAAACTGGTTCAGTGTGGTCGACTGCAGTGGCGGTGGTGGTGGTGCTCCGCTTTCCTTTCCTTTCCCCGCACCACCCTCTTCCCCCCTTTCCTACGCCCCCTTTCCCCCCGCCTCTCCCCTCTCTCTTATCCCGGCTTTCCCCCCAAACCCCCCCCCCTCCCACCCCCTGCCGCGGCGCCCTCGCTGTCTCTCAGGTGGTCAGCACTCTTCGTCGTGGCAGGATCTTCACAGAATCGTTTGAAGTGGTGACGGTGCTGTTTTCTGATGTGAGCTCCGGCGGGGGGAGGAGGGAGGAAAGGGCCGTTGGAAGGGGGGTGGGAGGGGAGGAAAGGGAGGGGCGCGGACAAAGAGGGGCCGTGTGTGTTTTTCTCCCCCATCTGTTCGGCCTTCTCTCCCTGTCAGCTATCCCCCAACAACCTTGCGGGAATATGCCTATGGTCTACCTACCTCGGGTATCTGCTTCAATCGTCAGTGGTTCGTCTGGGCCCACACCAAAACCCCACCGCAACTCACCAGCCCCATAGCTAAACATCATCAACATCATCATCACCATCATCACCATCATCATCATCATCATCATCATCATCATCATCATCATCATCAACATCATCATCATCATCATCATCAACATCATCATCATCATCATCATCATCATCATCAACATCATCATCATCATCATCATCATCATCATCATCATCAACATCATCATCATCACCATCATCACCATCATCACCATCATCATCATCAACATCATCATCATCAACATCATCATCATCATCATCATCATCATCATCATCATCATCAACATCATCAACATCATCAACATCATCATCATCATCATCATCATCATCAACATCATCAACATCGTTATGACTCTTATCACTGCCAAGATAGATGGTGGCTTGTTGTCATGAAGGCCTTATAGGAGGTAGAGGTTTCCAAAAGGCGATGAAACAAAACTGTTTAGGGGGGCTCTCCAGGTTTACCCCATCACCCGCCCCCACCCCACCTCAACCTATGTCATCCCCAACATCTAGTCGTACACATCCTCATCAGCCCGCGGGCACACACGCACACATGAACCGACACACAATCCGTCCCTTCGTGTGTGCGTGTGTGTATGCGCACCTGCCGTACGGAATGTCGTACACAACAGATCGTGGCGTACACTACCATGAGTGCCCAGATGGCGCCCATTGAGGTCGTACAGATGTTGGACGAGCTGTACCAGGAATTTGGTGAGTGGTGCTGGGGTGTGTACGTATGTGTGTATGTGTGTCCGAGGGGGGCCCTGTTTGTTGCGGATGGTGGGGCCCTGCGGTGTGTTTCAATGCTCGATGGGTTTACCGTTATGGCGACGGTTGCAGTTGGCCACTAGTCGGTTGGTTGTTGTCACTCAGCCCCAACTGTGGCACCATCTCTACTCAACCCAGGTTCCACCCCGCGTGCCGTACAAGTTCGTGGTACGCCTCTTTGATCGTTTTCCCCTCCCCACCTATCCCGCCAACTCGCGACGGTGGGGGGGTGTATGCTGACCCGTTCTCGCAGAGATTCTCTGTCCCCTCACTCGCGCACTCACTCGCTCGCTCACTCACTCGCTCACTCACTCACTCGCGCACTCACTCACTCGCTCACTCACTCACTCGCGCACTCATTCACTCGCGCACTCACTCACTCGCGCACTCACTCACTCAGGTCGTTGGTCGGCCGTTGGCCCCCTGATTGGCTGCTTCACACCAACAACATCAACATTATCTGATTTCCCTTTCCCCCGCCTGAACCCGCCCCAAATGCCGCTCCCCCCTTTCACACACACATTTCAGACAACTTGGCTGAGAAGCACAGACTGTACAAACTGGACACCATTGGAGGTGGGTGTGTGTGTTTGGGGGGCGGGTTAAGGGGCCGGTGTGGGGATTGGGAGTGTGAGGCCGCCACATACACGTGGTGATGGGGCCCAGGGAACTGCTCTCGCAGCAAAACGAGGGGTTGGCGTCGCGTGTGTGTGTATGTACGTATACGTACGTACGTGTTTATATAAGATGTGTATGTGTGTATGTATTTTTTTCTTGTCTTGCCCTTTCCCCCCCTTTACGGCTTCGTGCTACTGCTTATCTTCCGCTCTTACTTTAGTCTTGGCGGCTAGGTAGGTAGGTTTCCGCGGCCGTCATCATCACATCATCCCGAGGTCGCCGCCTTCAAGAACGCCTACTGGTCAGTTCTGCTTCTTGTACACTCTTTCCTTGGCAGCAGCTTCACTCGTGCTCGTGGTTCGTCTTTCCCCCCCTTCCTGCCCGCCCCCAGACGCCATCATGTTGGTGGGCGGTGCGCCCCACTGCGAGGGGGCGGCCGCCGCGGCTGCTCGGGTGGCGCAGATGGGGCTGGACATGATCCGAGTGACCAGGTGTGTGTGTGTGTGTGTGTGTGTGTGTGTGTGTGTGTGTGTGTGTGTGTGTGTAGATAGGGGGAGGGGGGGTGAGTGGGTTGCAAGACAGGATACCCGCCCGCTTCGCTCACATCATTTTAAAACACAACACAACACCATTTTCCTCCAACTCCCTTCCCCACTCCTTGTCCCCTTCTTCCCCCTCTCCCCGGGATAAACATACATACATACATACATATATACCCGCACACGCAGCACCAAGGTCCTTGCTGGTGGCCACGTGGTGAAGATCCGCGTGGGCATCCACTCGGGGCCAGCGGTGGCGGCGGTGGTGGGCAGGAAGGCGCCAAAGGTACGGGGGGGAGAGGGGGAGAGAGCTGTGCGTCTGGTGGGGTTTGCTTGTGCGGCAAATGCTTGTGCGTCGTGTCATGTTATGTCATGCCAGGGGCACCCTACCTGCTCGCCGTGTTACCTACTTCGTGTCTTTACGGTTTTTAGGGGTTTCAGGGTTTTTCTCTTCCTCGTCCACCCGCCTGACTGGACCTCACCCCCCCCCCCCCGCTCGCTCGGCCCTTCCTCCCCCCCATCATCCACATCCACATCCACATCCACACCTTTCCCCTGCTGCTTCTTCTCTTCAACTTCGCTTTACAGTACACGTTGTTCGGAGGTGAGTCCGGAGGAGGTGACGTGAGGGGTGCGTGCGTACACTGACCCATGGGACGCTCGACTTCTGACCTCTGTTGGGAGCGGCGTGTGCGTTAAGAGTGATAGGCAATCGGACCGGGGCGGTAGAGGGGGGGGCTTGGGGGAAAGGAAGTGTACGGCAGAGATCCTAGATCCTAGGCGTGCCCCCTCGGTTCCCCCGATAGGCAAGCAGCCCCGAGTCTCGTCGCCGTGCGGGTGCTGACCCCCCGGGCATCGGCTCACTTCCACGCTCTACAGACTCTCCTGATAACGCAATTGCATCTCCGGAGAGAAGAGTGTTCAGGTCACAGCGCTTTTGTGGTCTGTGTGGGAAATGGACCACTGGACCCCCCCGCCCCCTGTGCCCCCTGTGTCCCCTGTGCCCCCTGTGCCTTTCCCCATTTCCTCCATTTCGCCCTTGACATCCATACGACGTACACGTGCGCGTACTGGTACGTACACACCCGCCGTACAGACACGGTCAACACCGCTAGCCGCATGGAGTCCAACGGCAGCCCCATGCGGATCCACATCTCGGGAGCCACTGCTGAGCTGCTGGAGCAGGCGGGGGGGTTTAACGTGGAGCCGCGGGGGGGTGAGGACCTGAGGGCGGCAGGGGCAGGGGCAGGGGCAGGGGCAGGGGCAGGGGCAGGGGCAGGGGCAGGGGCAGGGGCAGGGGCAGGGGCAGGGGCAGGGGCAGGGGCAGGGGCAGGGGCAGGGGCAGGGGCAGGGGCAGGGGCAGGGGGGGCGATTTAGGAGAGGGGGAGGATG